GAGGCGTACTCTAGCATCGGTCATATGATTGAGACGAAGAAGCAAGTGGCGATCTTTTCGAACCACGGCTGAAGCTGCGTTTGAGTGCCCCGAGCATATGAAGTCCGATATTGTAAAGCCTATTCGTGTTGTCTATGGACTTTAGGTCGCAGCGTGAGAGCACACAGAGGTCTTTCACGGAAGGCATGAGGTGCAACGGTTGGCCATCCAGTATAGGCTCTACTGAGTTCACCCGTACCAAGCCTCATGAATAGCGATTTGACAGGGTTTATCGGAAGATTGACCTCTGCAGACCCGATGAAGTAAGTCACAATCATCGGGTGCGCTGATTACTCTTCAAACCTAAAAGTCATACGCAGAGAACGCACAAGGCGAAAAGAGAAGCTGAGGCACATCGTTTGTATTGATCAGTAACAAAATGTGCCCAAGTAGAGGCACATCAATGGTCGAGGAATAACAGTCGGTCAGATTGTTGTCAATCTGGACCCTCCATTTGCGACCAACAAGGAAATTCTCGGTCCATCGGTAGAGCTAGCCACCAACGCCGCGCGACCCCGGCACATGGAGGAGGACCTCATGATTCAGCAAATCATAATCCTCATTTAAGCCCATGTAAATGACGTCGACCGACTTCCCTTGGTTAAGCGTTTGCAACCACTCGTGCATCGGCAACAGTAGTTTGGTGATACATGAGCGAATTTTCAAGAGGCCATGCTGTGCGGGCATCAAGGGGCTTTTCGGCTGGAGAAGACCTTGAAAGAAACCAGACTAATTGCTTTCAAAATCAGGCCTTTGCCTGAATATTGTTGTGTTACCTTCGCTAACTTGCGAAAGGGTGACTTGAGAGCCATTGAAAACGTCCAACGCGCCTTTACGAAGCGCATATTTGGCTATTCAACCGCTCTTTCATACAGAGATAGGTGCAAGCAGTTGAATCTTGAAACTCTGTGGTTACGAAGAATGCAATTTAATCTCGGCTTTATCCACAAACTCGCGTGGCGGAAAGCATATGCTGGAACCTAACAATTGCACTTTCGGGAAAATACCAGCTATGAACTGTGAGATAGTGAATGCATATTCTATTTACCTGAATTCAAGATCAGCCTAAGGAGAAATTTCTACCTTCTTAGGTATGGATCCATATGGAATAACCTGACAAAAGAGATTAGATGTATTGAACATTTTTCCGTGTTCAAGAAAAAAAATATGTATATCACATCTAGTAACTTATTCACGATGGTCGTTGCCGTCCCCCGTAGCTCAGTGGTCTCAACCACAGACTGGCAACAGTCGAGTAGCCGATTCGAGCCCTACCATGGGTCTGATGGAATGAGCACTGCTGATGATTCCCGAAAGGATGAAACGCGCGTACAGTGCTTTTCCGGGCGTGTGGCGGCTGTCTGAGTAAGTCTAGATGTGACGAATTTATACCTATACCGTTCAACTCCCCCTACTACTCTTCTGTCAAATGATAAAGGTTTGTCTGTCAACGGACAAAGTGAAATGGATCTTAAAAATTCAACTTGATGATGAAAAGTTGTAGGAAGAAAGGCCGGATCATGTATGATACCGGAGAACATCGACTCGAATGTACCAGAGAAAACATGACCATATAGGATGAGCTGCTACAAACCGCTTCTTATACTATTCTTTAATGCTACCTATGCGGTTTTACTCCTTTCGAACTTAATTCATACCAACTGTCTTCTGTTTAAAACCGAGAGCAAAATTATTTACGGGTATGGCGTCAGGAACTATTTTCGTAATTTTCCCCACAAATTGATTAATTCGCACTATTGTTCTGCGATCCCCTTCGCTACATTTGTTCTGCAGTGCTAATTATTTCCCCTTCTTTTCTGAAGTTAACAGTCCAGAAACATATACCTGAATTCAGTGATGGTAATAACGGATTCCCTATGTGACTGTTGCCTATGAACAACTCGTACAGTTATCTGCCTACGGCCGTCACACCACACAATTTGATCGTATGATATAGTACGATATAGTACCTCCTTCACATAATTCTTCTTTTCTACATTCTTCCTTATTTCATTGTTGGCCACGACTGGGCCGATCTCCTGTGGTGACGGATTATAGCTTCCAGAGTATAAAAGACTTTACCTATGCAAGGCACATTGCCACAAATTTAACTGGCGTATAAAAAGGTGCCATAATAGAATGATCCGCATGACGGACTCGGCTGAGCCTTCATGGCCCATAATACATGTACAAAAGCAGCTCTAAAAAGAACAGAACATATGGTAAACAGGTGATGGCTCATATGCTACTATGCCACACCGGCACGTGGCCAGGTATTGCATGGAAGTGCGAGCGAAACCTTTCGAAGGAATACCTTGCATGGAAGCAGGTTCCCTGGAGACGGTTCCACGAGTGGCCGTATTACTTTAACTGGACATCTGTTTAAACCTGCATATGTTATTGTTCCTGGCTTTTTTAATTTCTTTAATACCTTAATCCTGCCAATTACTTTAGTACCCGTTTTGGATCCATTGTAAAAAGCGTGAACAAATTGATTATTTTTTGCGATCCTTTGTACACATTGATCAGACCACATAGTTGGACTGCACCTCGAATCAAAAGAGGAATATACCATTTAATTATACGAACCTCCGCCGTGCAGTTCACATGCCGAGACACAGATCCATAGATTACATGGGGATATCAAAGATGCCTTCGAATCAGTGGATCGGTTTGCCTAGTATCCGCTCAAGAAGGGTGTGCCCGAGGGATATATTATCAACGCAGAACTCCGGCTTATGGCTTACGCTGCCTGTTAATATCTCCAGCGGTGTGAGATAAGGTTGTCCGCTGTCATCGTCTGTCTATAACTTGGTCATCGATAAGTCATGTAAATGACATTTACTGGACACGAATCAGAAGGAGTGAAACTGTTTCCAGGGGAGAGACTTCTTGAATTGAAGTATGCCCATGACATTGCGCTTAATTGTGACAGCTCCCAAGCGCGAAAAACAGCACTGGACAGATTGGAACTGGCTATCAGTCTCTCTGGGCTATGCCTTACAAAGTCCTCCTCCAAGATTGAGAGGGACGCATTCCGGTGCTGAATCTTGATGGTGATCAGCTAGAAGATGTTCAGAAAATCAGATATTTTAACAGCCATGTCCGCGCCGGTGGGCAGAAGATGAGATCACAACCTGCATAACAAAAGCATGAGGTGCTTTTGTCTATCTCTGCCACCTTACCGTCGGCGCGATATCGATCTTGCCCTGAACGGTAGACTTTATAACGCAGCCGTGCGTTCGACCTTCATGTGCAGTTGCGAAACCTGGCATACCAGATCGACAGACATAAGGAGACTTGCTACGCTCGATCATCGATGTCTTCGCAGTTTGGCAGTCTGATGAGAACACCGCGTTGACAATGAGCGTGTTAGGCGTTGTGTATTTGAGGCAGGATGAGCAAGTGAACCGCGCAGCACCGTGATATCACGCACCAGGTTGCGAAGGTTGGGTCAAGTGCTGCGTTTCACAGCACACGGACTAGCTCGATGTGCTTTGATTGCACGATCGGGGTCTGGATAGAAGGCCAAACGATGACTTCGACACGAGGAATGAAGTCCCTCGCTTCTAACTCCGCGTCTCTTAGTGTTTGCCGACTAGCAAGCTGTGGCTCCAAGGATGAGGAACACGTTTGGTTGGATACACTAGTAGTCATGGCGAAGAGCCGATCTCAGTGGCGTTTGTGCTGTTTCTTCGTCCATCCTCTCTCCTCTAGCTAATCCCGTCCAACATGCAGCTCATACCCCCTGATGATATTCAGCAGTATGACAGTTGTTGTCTTTAGTTTTGTATTCCGTAACGTCTATTGTCTCTCCTTGTATATATCTTATCTTTTGTGCTGCAGGACTGTTAACTGAAGTTTGTTTCTCTCATTTAGCTAAAGTGTGATTATGATGAACGAAAAGGGCGGTCTCGGTATGCCAGAGATAACTAGCATGCTAGTTCATCCCGGCAAAGACAAAGCAAAAGTCACAGGGTGGATGATGCGGTTTGTAACATGTTCGAATGTAAATCCATCAGAGTAGCAGCAATGCAGTAACAAAAGAAGTGCAACGAGACGTAAAAAGACGAAAGAGACACCAACATCCACATGAAATGACTTTAGTAAAGCAGCACAACCTGAGACGGACGAAATCGAAGGCTTTCATCGCACTGAAGGAAGAGATTCAATGACCTGAAGGTTGTCGATTTGACTATTAAAAGAGGGACGCATTATGAAGTCGACAATCACCCGTCAAGGAGCATGTATGATGAGGAAGACTACAAAAGGTTCTCTTTACTCTTGACAAACAATCGACAAGTGAAAGATAACATAAGTAACAACATTATACTTAGAGCGCATGGATAGTCACATGGAGTGAAGCTGTCTGATTAAGTGCCCGAACGATTCAAACCAAACCAGATTCCAGCAGAAGAGAAAAAGCAAAACACGAGCTACCTTCAAATGAACATATACAAAATCGTGGTCTGGCCAAAAGATGGAGATGCATGACATTTCAATAAGGTTTTGTCATCTCGATGCACTGCTTTCGCCCTCGACACTACATTGTGAAGACAACCGTGTCTCAACTATTTGGTCTTGCAATAAATGACAACTAGGCATCGATCAAGTAGATCCGTTGCTAGAAGACTGGATTCCTCCAACACTCAAGTTCAGTAGAATTGCATGACGAAGCCAATGTCGAGGTCCAAGGTTCGTAACATGGATGGGAACACCGGGTAAGCAGCTGGTCACCAGGTTGCTACATGGTAAACATGATGCTTCTGATAATCACAAAAAAGCACATTTTTCGCGACTAACAGTGGACTGTACCCACGGCTAACGAGTTGAATAGATTATCCGTACGAAGGTTGTATTTTGCCAACGTAGGACACAATAGGAAGGATCTCAATGAAAGCGGTCTGAGGTGGGAGGAAACACGGTACTTTGTTGAATCAAGTGAAGGTGCTCAGTCACACAGCGGGGAAGAATAGAAAGTCACCAGCAAAAATAGAGAGCACATGATGTCCAACTGAACGGAGTGTAGTGCAATCCCAGATCAAGCAGAAGACACATGTGGATGGAGTAACACACGTACTCTGATAAGCGGAAACGGTCAAAGAACTTGATCGCAGCATGTGCACATAGAAGGATGCTTTATCCTGGTAGTCGACAGATGGCAAATTGGCAATTATGTGAACACATAGCGGAAACATTGCTACGTCAACTGTATTAACTTTTAATGGCGTTATATGTATACATGTTAGTCTGTGATACGCACTTGACAATATACATGGGCGTTTATCCGGATAAAAAGAGTGTGTGTGTGTGTGTGTCTGATATTTCGGTGCTAATGCTACTGCTGAATATTTCATTGGAAAAGAGTTGCATCAATCCATTACTGTCTGTTGGACGTTGGTACTTGACCAGACCAGCAGCAGTGTGTAAATGTTGCATGATGACGACGGGTGTTGGGAACAAAGCCCGGACAAGAAAGGTAGGACACTCGAGTGAAGAACGCAACGTAATGGTAATGGAAATCGATAGATCTCCCAAATAATCACGATCCCATTCGTGCCGATTTGATCAGAAGTCAGTGTGAGCCATAGAATTGCCGGAGTATAATTGAAAACGCAGCAGTGTCCACGCAAACACAGGGAAAACCTATGACGACTGTACGAAATGCAGATCGAAATGTAGCACCGAGAGTCATGCTGTGAGAATCACTTTAGGCTATTCGAAAGCCACGGGAAGGAAAATCACCACCACGCGTGATTCGGCGATACTTGAAAGGAATGCAGTTTAGATAGGAGAGGCGACGAATTCCCAGAGCAAGCGTGAATCCATTCAGGTGTAAGGTAAGCGTGCTTAAGCAATCCAATGGCAATGCAGCAGAATGTGGTCAATGCGCCAAGGAGTGATCCATTCGGGGTTTTCAGACAAATGCAACTAAGTAAAGCCTTGTTCCAAAGCAGCGTAGAGGAAACTTTCAAAAACTTCTTATGATCGACAAAATTAGAAGCAGCAGTCCCTCTGCGTCCGTTACAATCAACAATGAAGGAGTAGTGAAAATATCGAGCTAATAAAATTTTTTGAAAATCTGGAAGAATGCGTATTGAGAAGTTTCCGACTGGTGATGCATACATCTTGTGCACGTGATTTTGAGTGGCACAAACGATTTTTGGAAAATGTTCAGAGCGAGATGGATAACGATTACTCAAATCGCTCACAGATAACTGTTCTTGATGACAATATTGGAAAATGTGACATCGGTTCGAAGAAATCGAGAGTTCAAGAAATAACGGAAAGTCTATTCGGATAGGTAGTGTTAAACGAACAAACAGAAGTTGAACAAAATAAAGGATTGCGCAGGTGGCTTTAAAAGTTCGTCGATATCCGGGACATCGTGACGAGAGTTCGCAATCAAAGGTGCAACAGCAGATCAACAATGATGAAGTGGCGTTACTGTGTGAGACGGAAACTACCCAAGGTATGGAAAAACGGATGGGTTTTTCAACAGGACAATGCACCGGCCCCCAACACTTTGTCGGTGAAACAGTTTTTAGTTAACGAAAACATCACTGGGGTTGAGCACCCCATATCCCTCAGATCTAGCGCCATGCGCCTTCTACCTCTTGGTAAAAATCAAGCCGATGATCAAAGAAATCCACTGTTTGTGGTAGATGTGTAAACAAGAACGTCGGAGGTCAATGACAGCCATAAAGAACATGACGTGCGGATTTTCTCTGAATGTTGGCAGCATTGTTTACAGCTGTGTGATAACTCAATGGTGATCTGCTTTGTAGGCAATCAACGTTGCCATTTTAGACAGAAAGAGCTCCAAGTAGAGTCCCCTTTATTCTGTCTGACAGTGTGTAATGCTAATGTGTTCCATTCTTCAGTATATAGGCATGGAATCAATAAACGGAATGTCACAGTATTGTGCAACGTCTGATCGATAAACATTTGGTAAAGGGACATCAAAAACCAAACTTGTTCCGATCGTCAAAGCAACAAAAAAATTTCATTGGGGTTTGCTGAATACATTCAAAAGCAACATGATGTCAAGGGACCAGAGTGCGAGGAGCTCGATTTGCGAAGTCGGGTAATACGCGCAACTGGAATCCCAGCAGCATAGCATGGGAAACAGCAGTGAGAGCAGGGCCCTTACACAAATTGCCAAACTTCAGGCAATGGCGAAATTGATGTGATGTTGCAAATCTGGGGCAAATTTTCGGGTAACACAAACACAGAACACGACCATTCGATGAGCGTTTCTGAAGATGATTCTCAGATAAGCGCACCGCACTTCAAGGCAACCGCAGGTAAAGTGGAGATCTCAAACCTGCAACTGAATCACGTCCGAAATATGGATTATCTCACATTAACCCCAGTGCCATAATGGAAAACATAAGGCAGACAATGGATGAGTGAGTGTACCGACCGAAACGAAGCAGTCATGCGAGAACTAAGTGGAAATCTTAAAAGTCCATGGGTAGCTAACAAATGCAGAATAATCAAAGAATCCAGCATGGACCCGCTACGAACACAACAAATGAGGCTAGCGAGGACACTGTGATTTCAAGAGCTCTCGTAAAGGTGACTGTTAGGGAGGACACAAATAAACTACTAAGGCAATTACTACGGAGATTTTTACTGGGATTTATAAGAAGCTCACGTACTTCACATGACAACCAGAGAGCATTTGATGTTTCCAATGCCTTCGTGGATTGGAGCTTAAGCATGGTTGTTTCGAGTGATAGTAAAATACCTTAGAGCTACCCCCAAGTACGCTATCAGTAGGAAAATACACACGCAATTTTAGCGTGGTACAGTAATAGAATTCAAGAGCTATAAGCACTTGCAAAAAGATGGGCAACAGAAATGACCTACCTTCGCATACAGTCACCCCTGAAGGCGAATGCAACAGCCCAGGTAAGTAAAACAAGCGGTCCTACGAAAGAACCCTTGCGGCTTGCACAAAGCACTGTGATTTGGCCATTTTACGGATTAAAAAAATACTATACATAAGCTAAACCGGGTTAAGAGCATCACGTTGGTTAATCACCGTCTGAAGCCTTAAATATTGACATCGTCACTGCTTGCCCATTCGATGAACATGTTGTGTCTGGGCGTAATGAAGCGATTGATGATGTTGTGGTCATGTGGTCCGATCATTCGACACGTCCGAATGCCAGCCAAGCATATTTCTCCCCTCAATGATCGTCCGTCAGTGTGCATCGCATCCTTACCCATGGAGTTCCCCAGGAAATGTCGCAACCTGGTGGATGTAGAACGATGGAAAGCGACGGAAGATCGTCAGTTTCTTCTTTGCTTTGGACCCGTAGTAAGGCGAGGAACCCAAGTACGGACACTGTCAAAGTTCCAAGTGTATCTATATACTGTGCAGATGCATTATCTATAGTTCATCGAAGAAAGCATGGAGCGAAATCTCTGCCAGTTTGCGTCTATCTACGGCGAGTAGGTGCTTGTTTTTAATCTCCATTCGTTGCTGCATTTGTGCGACGATGTGTGCAAATTTAGCCCGTTTGATAAATTCACATCGTTTCTCTACGAACCATTACTCTACCGACTCCGCCGAATGGTTAAAAGCACAAGATTACCAAGTACACAGAAGTATGGTTAAATGTATGACGTACAGACGATGCCCAACAATGCACGGTTGAATGATACTTCTTCAGTGTAAAACATCAGACCAATTGTCCAGGGCTGCATAAGTGTAAAAGGGGCTACGGTTACATCGCCACACCTAAATAATGTCGTCATTTCCTGTGACGTGCCGGCTGTCGTGTTTGGCTTCCCTAACTCGGAGGTTTGCACAGACAGACATTCATCCAATGGAATCGTTTGAGGGGTTTGTGGCGCCGACCTACCTGCGCATATGTAAACGCTTCTCAAGTACTACGCCTCCGAAGTGGATCCCGTAGAATCAGATCGACGGTTAGAATGCCTTTCAAGGACTTCACAGTCTTCTACCCACAGTTGGCGCTAACATACATGCAGTGTTATGCTTCAGGTGAGTTGGGCCAATGTTTTAATGCATCTCCTCTGCAGTCAGACCTGTTTTATTTGATTCTCGCAAGTTTCACAGTCGGGCTGCGATAATCAGGCAAGAGAACCTAAAATTACCGCTGTATTATGTGCATATGTATAATAAACCATGCGAACGACATTTCTCTTTTGGCGCCCAAGCTCTCCGTGGAGGTTTTTCGAGCATTTATTTTCTCGTTTAGATGTAACGCTTTTATGGAGTTTAAAGGTTGGTCGGTCGCGATTGCGTTGCAATCATGGATGGTTGGTGTAAAGCAGGCGCTGTGGGCCAGGCTGAACTCCAGGCAGCTAGAGTCGATGGTAATAATTCATCAGCTATCCACACCCGCCTCCACGGTGATTTATAACGTGCGAGTCCACAAAGCAACAGGTAAGTGATGCCCATAATTCGATACGGTCAACGTTATAGACTATTACGCATATGTAAAGCGGTTGGAGGAAGAGCTCCTAATCAAAGCCGAGCTTGGGTCGAGCGATGCAACCATGATACGGGGAGGGAGGAAGAAGGCCAATTTAAGAGTGCATTTCTCACATCAATGCATTTAACATTCCCAACCCCTTCCACTGCTTTGAATCGCAATTTAAATTGTATCACACAACACGGAAATATTCCACTGACTTGGATTATTCTCCGCCACCGCCTAGTTTGGAGATGGCGGTAGCGGTGTCATCGAGTATGATGTAAGAGAATATCGAACCTTCCATACAGCCAATAACTAGGTACTGGTGAGTTTAGCTAACGGCTCCTTAGCCCCATAAACGCCTCATGCTCCAGTTACACAGCGGTGCCAGTACCTACAACCGTTTACGATTTATTTCGTAAAAGATCACGTATGTCTCTTCAAATAACGCTGTTGGTGACAATGTAGTGAAACTGGATCAGAATACTCGCCAGCTAATATGGGTTCGCGAGCGCGTCACCTCTTTGGAGCACTTCATCAATGCCCTCAACTTCAAGATGGCGGCAGAAAGCAACAGAGTATACTGTCCCTACCACTTCGCACTCCAAGAGATCGGGGCAATGATTTTAATGAACAAGGAGCTTGAGAATTCCGATTTCAGGGGGGAATTGGTAACCCGTCATTTGTCTGAATACATGTGTTATGTGGCCTATCAGGTGCAGATAAGGAGTACCAATGATTCGGAATATGCCCGAAACATTGGCGACGTGCCACACCACCGGCTTCGTCGAGAAGCTCAATTGATAGGGCATACTTGAGAGGTTCAATGTCACGGGTACACCGTCCGCCCCAGCAATTGTTGGCAAGCTGTGAATAACAGAACTGACTAACACATGTGTAGC